CACCTCAGTCCAAATCCGTCAGTTTGCCACACACCCCATTTGCTCCCCAAAAGTTGACTCTCTTACGCGGCTCTGTTTCGCTACGGTAACTTGCGAAGAGAGCCGTAGAAGTTCTCTTGAAAGCAGCCGGGCTTTGCCTCCAGAACCAACAAAACCCGCTTTTGAGGCGGGAAGCCAGAGATGGGAGCGAACCCCGGGGTAACCTATGTTTCGATAGTACAGTATCTTCCTTCCCCAAAGCTCCCTCGAGGAGATCTCCGGAACCCCCCGATGCTTTATTTGACAGGGGGCTGGGTGGGATTCTCCTCCGACCCCCAGGCGCACATGTAATACCCTTCCTCATTCCGCCTCGCCCCCCTTCCTCATTCCACCTGGAAAATACACCGGTTTGCCCCACCAGGCTGCCCGCAGGCGCCGGCTTTGACGCGCTTCCGTCCGGGCGCAAAGGAGAGCGCAGGCAGGACGGAGCGCGCTCCCCGCTTCCTCGCCTTCCCTCCTCGCCCCAGGGCAGAAGAAGACGGGGCGAGAGGAGCGCGGCACAGGCTTGGCCGCCCTTCTCCGCGTCTGCTTCAAGCCAGGTTTACTCCCGAGTAAGCCTGCTGAGCACCGTCGCCTTCAAACGCGAAGAACTGCAGCTGTTTCCCGGCACTGTACGTGCCCTTGTGTATACATATCATTCTTATGAGGTGTTGGAGGTGTCGCGAATAAGGAGGCGCACAAAACAATTTTAAATGGAGCGGACAGGTATGGCCCCACCTGTTCCCAAGGCACTGGGATAAGAGATCGCTGGCTGATGGCCTCCGAGGTGAGCCCGTCTTAAGATCGTGGAAGGTGTTTAGGAATTTGCTTTTGTTTTAATTAGGAAGAAAACAACAACGATAACAACAACGCTGCTTGGGTGCAAAAAACAAAAAACAAAAAACCAAACACCCCACATACATAAAATTAAACATTTCATATCCAGAACTTGTTTTTGAAGATGTGAAATGGACAGTGAGAGAAATGCCCTATAATGTAAAACTGGGGACATGAAGCGGTTGTCTTTGTTACTTTTTGTTGTTGTTGTTAAACAGCCAAGGGTGACAATTTTGTAATGGCTGAATGTAAATTACCCAGATGTGACAATAGATCCAGAGCTAAGTGCTGCCCTCTCCACCAGAAAACACATTTGGGTTGGATGCAGTCTCAGGTGAGGTTTAGAGCAGATCCATTGAAATTAGGGTTAGGATTACTAATTGGAACTAGCGTATATCCCATCGAATCCAGTTGATCTATGCTAAGCATGAGTAACTCCGGGTGTAGCCTGTTCAGTACAAGCAAGTCCTGTGAGGAAACTTGGGTTTATAGGATTACCTCCAATCAGTTAAAATCCAGGGCTACTGAATCCCATCATTTCTAGTCGCAGATTAGCTGGTGGTAGAGCTGCAGTGGAAATCTGCAGCTGGTTTCACGACTTGTGTTGAGAATTGTGTTGGCAAATTGATTTACCTGAAATGACAGACTTGTTGGGGGAGTTTGTAAACAAGATGTTTCATGGGGACAGAGTTCCTCTTCTTTGCATATAATCAACAAGAGAAACCCAGAGAGCAACTTGAATTATTATGGTTGGACTTGATTTACTGAAATAATCTCTTGCAACACCATAAGAATAGGACAGGTGATGTTTTGTATTCAACATATTTAAATGATAGTAGCAGGGCAGAGTTTGACGTGTGATTGTTAAAGGTTTATTTTATAATAATAATAATTTTAGAGCTGCAGAGCTGGAAGGGACCCAACGGATCATTGAGTTCAGCCCCTGTCAAGGAGGCATGGTGGGGAACAGAACACCCAGCCTCTGGCTCTGCCTAAACCACTAAGCTATCCAGCAGTTTATTTATTATTATTTATTTTATTTTATTAGATTTATACCCCACCCATCTAGACCAAAGGTCTACTCTTAGTTTAGCTTCTGTGTTACAAACAATGAATGTTTGTATGATGAATAACAAAATAACACTTTTTTAAAAATTAAAAAAATTTTTAAAGACTGTGAGTGACCTTCTTTCAGTTTGCACCCTTAAATCCAGACTCCAGGGGTCAGGGCACCCTCCATTGCAATCATCATGTAGTAATCCTATGAATTAATGGCCTCCAAAAAAGGTAAAGGTAAAAGTTCCCCTTGACCATTTTTGTCCAGTAGTGTTTGAATGTAGGGGGCAGTGATCATACCCGTTTCCAAGCCATAGAGCCATTATTTTATTAGATTTATACCCCACCCATCTAGACCAAAGGTCTACTATTAGTTTAGCTTCTGTGTTACAAACAATGAATGTTTGTATGATGAATAACAAAATAATATTTTTTAAAAAAAATTTTAAAAAATTAAAGACGGTCGGTGACCTTCTTTCAGTATGCACCCTTAAATCCAGACTCCAGGGGACAGGGCACCCTCCATTGCAATCATCATGTAGTAATTCTATGAATTAATGGCCTCCAAAGGGTTTTCCAATTAACAGCCCTGCTCTGGTCTTGTGAATGAAAAGCTGTAACTGCCTTTACTGGGTCAAAATAAAAGTGCAGAAGCAGAGTTATAGATGAACGTTAAGAAAATAAAAATAACAACACAGAAGAGTCACATAACTTCCATTCTGACAGCAAGGAAATCCCAACTATTAAGGATTTCCTATGTTCTGGTTCAGTCATCGATGAAAATGTAGTCAAGAAACCAGAAGAACTGATAGTTTATTTATTTAAAATATTTCTATGCCAACTTTCTCCCCAAAACAACCTAAGGTGGCTTACATCACTAAAACAGTATTTAAAAGCTAAAACAGTAAGTATACAGTTAGGAAAGACCATCAAGTATAAGGGCATGTCGCAGCAGACCAAGGCCAAACCTATCCATATTATAGTACTGTATTCCCAAACTCAATTTACATAAAACCCATTCTGGCACCATATAATCTGCTACCCAAGGAGAAGAAAGTTTCAATCCCAATAATTATCTAATATCAAAGTATATGACTGGATCTTGATTATAGAGTGTGTTTCCACTAAAAATCACTTTTTAGCCATGCCTTCTATTCTCTGATGAGAATGTGAAATCTGCACTTTAGAATATATCTTTGAAGACTCTCAGACTGCACATTACAATATACACTGGATTTTAATATATACTGAATTTTAAAACGACTCTTCTGTTTTTCATCACTCTCCACTAATACCATTCACACATGCATACCCAGACAGAGGTTTCACCTAACAGTTTGTAAGATGATGTATGAGGGTAAAACTCCCCCTGCAACAAAGATCTGCCTCCAGAGTTGTTCTAACAACAGCCTTGTGTGGCTTAGCCACCTATCAACCCTATCTTCAGAATGTTGATCACTTTCCAAATGACCTTTAAATTAAGCAAAAGACCAGCTAATGACACCCATCAATCACAGTGACACATCTCCCTCTTATCACAACAATACACCCACAACAAAAAAACACGCTGATCACCACAAAAACCCATCTCGTGAAAAGGACAAAAGCTAATCCCACAGCTATAAATACTCAACTATCCAAACAAACTGCACCAGAACACAGACAGAGTTCTGACTCCTGTCTTCTGAAGATGCCAGCCACAGATACTGGCGAAACATTAGGAAGAACAACCTTCAGAACACAGCCAAAGGGCCCAAAAAACCCACAACAACCATCACGGCCTTTAAATTATTAATTTTGCATTTTCCATTTAAAAAAAAAACCCTATGGTCATTGCTTTGTTCTGCTGCTAAAGCATCACTTGGAGGGACATGACTTCATATAACAGAATCGTCTCAGGTTGCCAAACCTCCTATATTATATCACCTTCTGTATTATTATTATTATTATTATTATTATTATTATTATTATTATTATT